CTTGAGAATTGATTGTCTGTAATCTTTTGATGACTGAAATTTACAGTAAAAATTTTTATTCATATATTTTTTAATTTTAATTAACTAAATAATGCACCATATGTGTAAAGAGTTAATTTTTTTATTTTATTTATTTCAGTATAGAATATCATATATGGATTCAATAATTCTTTTTATTAATATTTATTTATTTTTATTCAGTCTTAATAAGCTTATTTCAATATAGATGTTTTTAACAAAAAGAATATAATGTTTGCTCAAGTAATATTCATTCAATTTATACGTAAGAGTCATATATCAAGAATAATACTGCTCTGTAAGCATGCATCTCTTATTCATAAGCTATGAACCTGTCGTGATTTACAATATTAAATTGATTATGATCAAACATATATATGACATGATATTAAAAAATTAACGTAGAATGAAAGAGAAAAGGAGAACCAGCAGGAATGAAAAGTTGGGAAAAAGGTCAAATGTGTTTTGAAGGGAAGAGATATGAAAATTTAATATCAAATTTTATTTATAGATTTTGTTGGACGTATATTATAATAAAAATAAACAATTCACACGCATAACGTGATACATCACGTATGAATTATTTAATGTTTTTTTTTCCAAATTTCTCTATATTCAATAGTGATTTCCATTAGATGTACAACAAATTAAACAATTAAAATAAAAAAGCTTAAAAATTTGAATGAAAGAAAGCGAATAAGGAGCAGCTTGCTAAGGGTTGAACAACTTTAATGTAACTCAGCGGGTTCTGATGTGCGAACGTTGTAAGTACTTAACCCCGGCTGCTTTTCTTTGATTTACAGTTTCTTATCGGTGAGCTTTTCATAAGCTGCTTCTTACCCTGATTGTTCTATTATGTTTCGATCTTCCGTTTTCAGCCTTTCGCATATTTATCAAATACAGTTTGTCACTTCTTTCAATGGACACATAAGTGGGAGAACGCCACAGGGGATAGAGCCATTAAAACCTTTGCTTGAAACTATTCCCTGGGAATTTATATTTGTTGATACATTTGTCGTACAGAAAAGAAGTTACTTAATAGTGAAGTTGAATATGAAAGAAATAAATAAATAGATAGAAATTTATTATATTTTGTAAAATATTTGAATATCTCAAAAAGTTTCGTTTCAATATATCGCATACTAAACCATTGCATATGTATACAATGACTTACGAAAGTGTTTTGCAAATTTCGCGATACATACATAAAAACATGAAAACGTGTGAATATTCAAATACTTTCGTAAGCCACGATCTTCGTATACGTTGTATTGTGTAAATACTTTAATCTTTCACGCATCAGTAGTTATAACGGTGGAAATGACATGAATAAGACGCATGCAAATGCATAGTTTCCATGTTTCGTGGACCGTTCGTACTGTGGAATATATCTGAGACTAACCACATTCTACGTAAAGAACGTTAAATGTACCGTTCCGTGGACATTATGAACAGTCATGCGTTCCTCCTGGCGCATGTATTTACGTTCTCGAGCGCCACCGAAGGAGGGGGTGGTATTTGAAGAGCTGAAGCGCGATTTCATCCCTCATACGCAGACTTGACTCCTTCCGTGAGTAACAAAGATTTTATCAGAAGACCATAAGACAGCTGATAAAGTGTAACTTTGTGTTTCAACAAGGATATATCCTTACGGTAGCAACCTTTGGGCTCTAAAAATTCGACATGAAGGTAACTCTTTTAATGTATCTTCATTTTTTAATTCTTTAAAACATTTTTATTTTAGTTTATTTTTATTTTAATTTCCTTTCGTTCAAATGCAATTTTGTGCAAGACAGTTTTATTAATATTACATACAGCGTGTCACAATGCTATTTCTCTGTTAAAATTCCACTTGACAAGATTTTGTGCGCTTGAACTTTGTAGAAATATTCTCCACGCACGTATTATTAGTCATTAGATGTGTATATTATTATATTTATATTAATATTATTATAACAATAAAAAGTTTCTAATTACTAATTGATAGCATCGTAAAGGATCGCGAAATTTTTTCCAATTTGCTTTCTCGATTAACTATGTAATTGCGTTAACTATGTACTGCCTGTTACGATCATCAACAAAGAAAATTTAAAAAAAAAAGATTAAAACTGAAAGTAATTAACGAACGTTTTACTTAGCAGTGAATATTAATATTAAAATATAATAGAACTTGTAATTATTTTTAATTACATTATCGAACTGTTGCAGTCTATCTCATCGGTATATTATGTTGCAAACAAAGTTAAGAACTTTTTATTTGCATGTATGAACGTATCGCTCGAAGGAAGGATCGACCGGCTAATATCGTTCGACATTAATTAACCGCAGTACAAACCTGATTAAAGTCATAAGCAGATTATAACAGTTAACATGTTTGAAAGGTTCACGTACGATATTTATATAATCAACATGCTTATTGGTAATTACGCGTGGCCCCTATAATTATTGAGATTCTCGTTCTGGATTTTAATCGTTTTCATTACGGGTTCATTAACGATCGCTGTTATGAAATGTTCCATGGATAACAAGGACAGCTTTTATTTCATTTGAAACATTTAAATATTCTTTTAAATATTCTTCAATTATCTCTAGGTAATCAACAACGTTTGCTGTATTTTCATATTCGTATGCTTAATGAACGCGGCACATTCTGAGGGGCCACAGGACAAGGTAAATTATTATCTTGCAAGCGAACAATGCTAGTAATTATACTGATAACTGATAACGGATCAAATAAATCATTAGATCGAGCAACAGTTCTTAGACACTTTCACGACGGACGAGTCGCTGAAGATCAAAAGACCTTTTTGCAATGCATTCACCGGTAAGGAAAATTTAATTTTCAATCTGTCGTCGAATATAATCAAAGGGCTCGTCTCAAAGAAGACTTTTGTTGACGTTTTTTTTTTTTTTTGTCTTCCTCCATGGAAATGAAAAAATACCGCGGCATCTTTAATCTTTCTTCGATGCAAATATTTGTCTAAAAAAATTAACAAGGGGCACTCTTGTTACGAGCGTCTCAATTATTTTAAAATAATAAACTGATTCTAGGGTGCGGAAGAAAAAGGAATTTCCATGAGAATCCAGTGGAATCTCAGGATGTAGGGGCAAGTGGCAGCATCCGACTTCCAATTTCCATTTACAAGGCATTACTGAGGGCAGCAGCTCAAAATATTCGAAACACAATTCAACGTAATATAAATGACTATCAGTTGCCAGGGATCCCACAGGTTTATTTATCTGGCAGAATACCCCTTCACAAGAGATTTGACATCCCACCAACATCCTTAAATTAACTCGATCGTTTGGATCTATGGATGATACGAATTACTCGCGAAAAAAAAAAAA